CTTTTCTCACCGTATAAATTGTGGATGTTTTAGGTGAGGAAGATCCGGCTACGAGTAGAATGCCAACAGTTGAATTGTGGGTATGCTCTGATATTGTGACATCGGGGCAGAGGATTTTTAGGACATAGATTTTATATGGATTTGGAATTGTAAATATGATTTTGAAAACAATTTGTAAACTTTCAAGTTTAATTTTCAATTATTATGTTGGTTATTGATAAATGAATATGAAGGTTTTATGTGAACCCTTTTACCAACGTTAAAATTTTTTAGTTTATTTATATGATTAATATTTATATATGTGTTGGGGTAGTAAGGGTGTCACACGAAAAGTTTTTGGACCAGTACTACATACACCAAAAGGTGTAAAACCTATTGGATACAAATGGGTTTTTGTGCAAAACCAAAAATGAAAACGTTGAAATTATGAGATACAAAACAAGGCTAGTTGCTCAAGGTTTTTCACAAAGACCTAGTATTGATTTTAAAGAGACATATGCACCTGTAGTGGATGCAAACACTTTTCAATATTTAATTAGTTTGGTTGTACATGAAAAACTTAATTTCCATCTAATGGATGTAGTTAGAACATATTTATATGGCTTTCTTGATGCTAACATTTATATGAAACTCCCTAGAAGGATTTAATTTTCTTGAAGATGCAATTTATAGAGAAGATTTATTCGATCAAATTGAATAAGTCCCTATATGGGCTAAAGCAATCAAGTCGCATGTGGTATAATCGACTAAGTGAATACTTGTTACAAGAAGGATATAAAAATGATCCAATTTGTCCGTGTATATTTATAAAAAGATCTGAAAACAGATTTCTCATAATTGTAGTTTATGTAGATGACATAAACATTATTGGAACTCTTGAAGATGATTGATCTCAATTGGCCCTATGCACCACAACAAACAAGAACTAAAGGAAATGCAAGAGCAGAACCACATATACTATTATTCCTTTCAGGCACGACTAGTGAATAAGAATAATTTAATGCACTACACAACCTTCCTTGAACAAGAAGAGCAACACTTACGCCGTTGTTACCAAAAGAAATTCTCCAATATCAGCAAGGAGCAATTTGTGCACATGATGCGGTTGGATGCAGTGTTCATCATGGAGCTGATTCTGCGAGATCCTAACATGTGCATTAGTGTTTCAGATGGATAACAATAAGTTTAGGCAATAATGAGGGACAAAGTATGATCAAGCATAATCGAATTGAACAAGACATCAGACGATAGCAAAGCTAGTATCAAGACTAAGGTTGATCAATGCCTAAATCGAATACAAGATAAGAGGAATCTATCAGCTGAAGCTTGAGGGATCAGATGCAACTCCAAAAAAGATCTGAAAACAGATTTCTCATAATTGTAGTTTATGTAGATGACATAAACATTATTGGAACTCTTGAAGATCTTTCAAAAGAAATAGATTGCTTAAAGAAAGAATTTCAAAAGAAATAGTTTATTTAGGAAGGACAAAATTTTGTCTAGGACTGCAAGTTGAATACTTAGAAAATGGATTTTTGTGCATCAAGAAGCTTATATAACAAAGGTGCTTAAAGGGTTTTATATGGACAAATCACATTCATTGTGGACTTCCATGATTGTAAGATCTTTAGATGTTAACAAAGATCTATTTAGACCCCAAAAAAGGATGAAGAAATACTTGGTCTCGAAGTATCATATTTTAGTGCTATAGGAGCACTAATGTACCTTGCTAATTATACACGACCTGATATAGCATTTGCTATTAATTTGTTAGCAATATATAGTTCTTCACCTATACGAAGACATTGGAATGGAGTTAAATAAATCCTTCATTATTTTAGAGGTACAATGGATATGGGGTTATTATATTTAAATGTTCCCAAACCAGAACTAATTGGTTATGCAGATGTAGGTTATTTGTCAAATCCTTATAATGGTAAATCACAAACAGGATATTTGTTTATAAGTGGTGGTACAGCCATTTCATGGTGATCTGTAAAACAAACCATATCAGCCACTTCATTTAATCATGCTGAAATTTTAGCATTACATGAGGCAAGTCGTGAATGTGTTTGGCTAAGATTTGTGTTCAACACATACGGGAAACTTGTGGTTTATCTTATGGAAAAATGATATTGACAGTTATATATGAAGATAATGCTGCATGTAATTGAAAGATGGATACATAAAGGGAGATAGAACAAAGCATATTCTACCAAAAAAAAATTTTACTCATGATCTTCAAAGGAATGATGATTGTCTAGGACTGCAAGTTGAATACTTAGAAAATAGAATTCTTGTGCATCAAGAAGCTTATATAACAAAGGTGCTTAAAGGGTTTTATATGGACAAATCACATTCATTGTGGACTTCCATGATTGTAAGATCTTTAGATGTTAACAAAGATCTATTTAGACCCCAAAAAAGGATGAAGAAATACTTGGTCTCGAAGTATCATATTTTAGTGCTATAGGAGCACTAATGTACCTTGCTAATTATACACGACCTGATATAGCATTTGCTATTAATTTGTTAGCAATATATAGTTCTTCACCTATACGAAGACATTGGAATGGAGTTAAATAAATCCTTCATTATTTTAGAGGTACAATGGATATGGGGTTATTATATTTAAATGTTCCCAAACCAGAACTAATTGGTTATGCAGATGTATGTATACTCGGTTTTTGTTACCACTGAAGGATGCAGGAGAGATTGGTCCACACAAGTCAGTGTGTATCAGGCCAAGTTGCTCCTTTACTTTGTACTCGGACGAGTTCAGAAAACTTGTTCTTGTATGCTTTCCGAGTACACACGCTTCACAAAACTTCTTGTCAAATTTAACACCACGTAGTCCGTGCACCAACTCCTTCCTTGATAGCTCGGCCAAACCTCCAAAGTTCAAATGCCCAAAACGAAAATGCCACATCATGGCTTCATCCTTCACGTCCAGCTTCAAGCACTTATTTTGAAGGATGTTCAGCTCCAGTTTATACATCCGATTCTTTTTCATCTCTACTCGGGCTATTAAACGATCATGTTTGTCCTTCAAATAAAGCACTCGATCCTTCATCAGAACCGAGTTGCCTTTCTCCATCATCTGCCCCATGCTTAAGATGTTGCTCTTAAGTTCGGGAACGTAGTAGACATTTCTTATTTCTCCAACTCGTCCATCCTTCTGCATAAACTTGATGGTTCCATGCCCTTTTACCGCAACCTTGGAATCATCTCCAAATGACACGAATCCAGCCTTCACCTTGATGAGTTCGTTGAAGAAACTCTCTTCTCCACACATATGATTGCTCGCCCCAGTGTCCAAATACCAGACCGAGTTGTTTAAGCAACTCGAATCAAGCTCGGCTTCTGACTTCTCATCTGAGCTTGGAAGCTCAACTACTGATCTCTCCACGCAACTCAAGTTTAGCTCATCCTCGGAGGCACAACTCGGACGTAGCTTGGTCTCCGAGCTCTGCGTCATCATCAAAATTCCTGCTTCCTCGTCCTCTTCTTCTGTGAGAAGATTCTTCTCTTTCTCTTCACTTCGGCTTTTAACTCGGCAATACTTTGCTATGTGACCGTATTTGCCACAGTTGTAGCAATTTTCCGATCTGCATTCCTTTGCGTAGTGGCCGAGTTTGCCACACTTATAACATTCCACCTCTGAACTTGGCTGACTTCCTTGGCTACGATCACCTCGTCCTTGTCCACCTCCATGATCACCTCATCCTTGATCACCTCGTCCTTTGCCTCGTCCTTGATCACCTCGTCCTTGTCCACTTAATCTTCGGCCCTGGGTGTTCCGAGTTTCATTCAAATAAAGTTGCGCCTGTAATGCTTGATCAAGAGTACCCTTCATCTTCCTCCTCCTTTGTTCGTGGGTTTCGAGTGACCCAGCGAGCTCTTCCACTGAGAGAACTGACAAGTCCTTTGACTCCTCAATTACGCATGCAATACTCTCGAAATCATCTGTTAATGATCTCAAGATTTTCTCCACAATTCTACTTGCTGGCATTGGCTCCCCATTCCTTCCTAGTTGGTTAGCCACCTTCTCCACCCGAGTTATGTACTCGGATACTTGTTCCTTATCCTCCATCTTCAAACTCTCAAACTCTCCTCGGAGAGTTTGAAGTCGGATCTGTCTGACACGGTGGTTACCTCTGTGCGCAACCTCTAAGATCTTCCATGCTTCCTTTGAAGATGCAGCGTTTGCAATCTTCTCGAAACCTGACTCATCCACGGCATTGTACAAAAAATACAAAGCCGATTTGTCCTTCACTCGTGTCTTCTCCAATGCGGCAATCTGAGCCACAGATTGGTCTTCGTCCTCCTTGGGTTCTTGGAACCCCTTCTCCACTATGTCCCATAGACTTTGGGAACCCAACAGGGTCTTCATCTGTAAACACCAATTATCATAATTGGTTTTCTTTGACAGTTGTGGTACGGTCATTCCATTAACAACCTTCGCCATTACTCTCTCTTTCTTCTTTCTTCCCCTTCACATGCGCACACTGTTTTCCTCTCACACTCGGCACTCAGAGCATAAAGCTCTGATACCAATTTGTAGAAAAACTAAGAGACGAGTAATACTAAAAATTGTGTGATCGTAGCAACTCACTGTGTTTTTTTTATTGAATAAGAGATGGCCTTTAAATAGCTATTTTACAACGAACTGAACTAACAAGAAGATAATAAAATATCTTATTAAATCAAAACTTATCAAAAAAACTATCTTATCTAATCTGAAACAAAATAACTCAAAAGATAAATCAAATAATTCCAGATAACTTAAATCGGATATCTCGGATATCTCGGATATCTCGGAATCTCTAGAAATTTAAGATTTTCCAACATCCTCATCAACGAAAAAGCATGTTTGAGCCATGCAAGTGGGAGAACAAGAACATACTACATTTCACTGACCTAATTAGAAATTCCTATCTCCCTAAGAAACTGAGAATCCAGAGAAAACATTCTCAAGAGGAGTGTCTGCTAAGGACTGCCACAAAGTTGAATGAGGCTGGGATAAGCTTTGAGAAGGTTCATAATAGATGCTTACTTGACATAAAGTTTAAGAAGAAGAGATTCTTCAGCTGGTTTCTTTCCTTGGGTTGCTTGCCACGTTGCAAGTTGTTCAAAGCTAGGTTTCAAATCCCCCAGTTGAGAGTGGACCACACAACAGAATGTGTTCTTAGGAACCTAATAGCCTTTGAGCAGTGTCACTATCCTGAGGCGCCTTACATTTGCAACTATGTTTCTCTAATTGACTCTTTTATTCACACCAAAGATGATGCAGAGTTGCTTGTTGAGAAAGAAGCTATTGTACATGAACTAGGGTGTGATCAAGAGTTAACAAATCTGGTTAATGGTCTTTGCAAACATGTAGTGACAGATTCAACATGCTACCACAAAATTATTGAAGATGTTAATGGACACTACAACAACAAGTGGAAGTGGGCAATGGGTACATTAAGGTGGGTTTACTTCCGTGACCCTTGGAGAAGTAGTTCTACTATAGTCGGGGTTGTTATCCTAGTATTCACTATCTTCAACTTTTACCGTGTTAGTGATATAATATTTTAGTAAGTATTTGTTTGAATAAACTTTCTTCAATAAAATGATTTTTGAAAAAAAAAAAAGAAAAAAAAAATTCTTCATAACTTAAAACTTATGTTCAAATTATTATAAATCTCTCTTGTTTTAATTTTTTTAGTTCTACATAAATTGATTTTAACTTATGAAGCAATTTATTTTAGTTATTTCTTTTTATTTATTTATTTTAAAAGTGTTTTTAATGAAATTTATCACTTCAACACAAATGGTATTTAGCGACATTTAAAAAATGTTGCTTAATTATGTATAAATGTTGTTAATTTGTTTTAGCAACATATTATTAAATGTTGTATATAGCCCATGTTGCTAAAAACTTTTAATAACATTTTTGCATAATTAGGTAACGTTTTTTAAATGTTATCAAAGTAATATTTTTGTAACATTTTAATGATGTTGTCAAGATTTTGTTAACTTTATAAAATAATAATTAATTTTAATTTAAATATTACTATCAATTATTATATTTCTATGTCTTATAAACTTCTAGGAGTTCCTTAAGTTTTTAGGTAAAGACATTTTTAGTTAGTCACCACAAAATATATATAATATCAAATTTCATTTATCTTAAATATAAATATATGAGTATATATACTCATTATGAATCATTAATCTATTCGATGTGACACTTTAATTATGGGTTATAATTAGATATAAGAGAAATATATATTTTTTGACTCGATGTGGGACTTTGATTTTAGAAGCAATTATAGTAACATTTTTCAAAAAAATGTTGCAAAATAACTTATGTAATTTTTTTTAATCAATATGGGACTTTGATTTTGAAAACAACTAGAAATAATAATATTGAAATAAAAAATGTTACTCTATCTATAATGACATTTTTCAAAAAAGTGTTACAAAATAACATATTTATTTAATATATAGTAATATTTTAACAAATGTATACAAGAAAATGTTGCTAAAAGATTAGAATCTAGTAGTGTATCTAAATGTCTTAAACTGATAATTGTATATTGAACCACCTTTTCTGTGTTACATTTTGCTATAGGCCTTTTCTGTGTTACATTTGTATTAACTATTGCAATGTAAATCTTACATTTGCCATTTACTTGTACTAGAGCTGGCTTATATATTGTTGAATATATGGATTAATAATAGTTGCATATGTGTGATGATCATACGGTTACATCGTGAAATCTTCGAAGGGTGCTAAAGTGTGCAACAGCCTTATTGAATCAAGCTACTTCGATTGGCTGGATGTAATTCTTGATAAGATCCTCCAAGTTATTTTTATAATAATAATAATTGTATGGGTAAGGCCGTTCGGTCATACCTTTCGGCATATCATTCGGCATAACCGATGGTGAATGGTTATACCGGTTTGTCCTACCCGAAAGCGCATCGGCCAATTGCATCATATCAACCCAATACTTACTGTTTCAGGTGACCGACACCCGATCGACACCCCCAATAGCTGAAAGGCTTCAAGTAGAGTAATCCACGAATCTAGTAATCATTCTTAAACAAACGATTAAGGGTTAATTACACGCATAAGTTAATTAAGGACGTATTACCTAATCAGGTAATCTTAGTATAGGGCCCATAGAGAGCAAGGCCCATGGAGGGCAGGGCCTAGGGATGGCAACGGGGCGGGGCGGGTACGGGTTTCATGATACTCGTCCCCATCCCCGCAAGTTAAACTCATTCCCGTCCCCGTCCCCATATATATCCGTCGGGTATAGATTTTCATCCCCATCCCCATCCCCGTTGGGTATCGGGTATACCCGTACCCGTACCCTATGTAAATTAATTTTTTTATTATATTATAATTATAATTAGGTTATTTCTTTATCTCATATTATAATAAATAATCACACATAAAAAAAATATTAAATTTTTTTAATATAATTAAATTAAAAGTGAATATTAAATTAAAAATGATAACAGGGACGGGTACGGGTACGGGTACGGGGCGGGTAAGTACATACCCGTACCCATACCCGTACCCGGTCAAACCGGGTATGTCAAAGTCGGGACGGGTTCGGGTATTACCCGCGGGTACGAGTATATTTGCCATCCCTAGCAGGGCCCATTAATGTTACTATAAATAGTTTACATCTCGAGGTAACATCATTGTTCATTGATTACTATCGATATTCATGCTTATCTTGACTTGAGCGTCAGAGTGCCTTTTACAGGTACCCTCTCTCTCACCAAACTATTCTCTTGGAGCTCTCGTTCAGCCTTCAGATTACTAGAAAATTACTAGTGTGCCCTTCAGACGGGTACATTTTGGAGCCCACCGTGGGGCTGAACAGAGAGTTTTGTGAAGAAAAATTGACTAAGTTAGAACAATGGCAAAAACAAGGAAGACAAACACAAAAGACCACCAATCCGAGGGAGAAGAGGACCATGTGGAAGTCGTTGAAGAAACGAACCTTTTAGAGACCGTTTGTCAACTGAAGGAAGAGATGGCCACATGAGGAACCAAAGGGAGAAAGATGCTAGGGAACTTTCGACCTTGAAAGCTGAAAATGTTGTTTTGAAGAATCAAGACCCCTCATGGAAGCCCACTCAACCAACCCATACATAGACACAAGGATCTTCCCAATCCCAAGAGATCCACACCTCGAATCCTCGCGCTTCGGCCATTGCACCGGAGAAGCTCCCAACAATCGGTCGGTCCACCAGTGTCCAACCGATTAGCGTACATCGACACCCTTTCACCTCACCCATCATGCAATCACCTTTGCTAGACCATTGGAAGTCTCTTCCAATAGATAAGTACGACGGCACAACGGACCCCGATTAACATATTGACGTGTTCCTCACACAAGTAACATTGAGTACCACTGATGACACTACTCTATGTCAAATTTTCCCGACATCCTTAAAAAGTTGGGCCTTAAGTTGGTTCACTTGGCTTTCGACCAACTCGATTGATTATTTTAATACTCTATCATCATTATTCACCATCCAGTTTGCAACCAGTCGGCCACACCAACTGACTTCCCTGTCATTTTCAGCATTCAACAAGATAAGAAAAAGTCACTTTGGGCCTTCATGGATTGGTTCAACAAGGCAACATTAGAAATCAGGAATCTTAACCCAGCTATGGCACTCCACCATCTCACTACGACCTTAAAACTGGGGCTTTTTGTCAACAGCATTTGCAAGAATCCCCCATGGACATGGAAGACCTGCGTAGGCGAGTTGACAAGTACATGCATATGGAAGAAATGGCTGATTTCTGCAACCAAGCTCGAGGCGAACACGTTGCCAAGATAGAGAAGTCGGTGGAACAACCATTCCGAAGTCAAAACAAGGAGATAACACTTTGATAACAGTTCGCGCGTGCTCTGAAATACTCTCACTACATTCCTTTGAATGCAAGTCGGGCAGCGGTGCTCAAGCAGGCCCTTGCATCAGAAATATTGGCAGTTCCAAAGAGAGCCACAACTCTCCTGCACACTAACATGAACAAGTCTTGGAAGTATCACCGCAATCGTGGACACTCCACCAAAGAATGTGCAGCCCTGAAGGATAAGATTGAGGACTTAATAAAGCAGGGGCAACTCCAAAAAAATTTCGATCGGCCAACCTCATCTTGGTCTTGGTCTGGTTACTAGCCTCAGCACCATGACCAATACAAACAAAAGCGCTCACAAAGGCATCGTCGCAAGCGCAGCCGATTAAGAGATAGGAAGGAAGAACCCCAAACGTTGCATAGGCGTGTCATCAACACGATTACAGGAGGGCTTACAAGAGGAGGATCAATCTCTTCAGTACAAAAAAGACATTTGAGAGCGGTTCGGGCAGT